TTAGTAAAACTGAAGTTAGATAGACTTTAAAGAAAATGAAGTGTGGAAAGTGGAAACTATTGGACTTGATGATATTCCAATAGATGTGTGGAAATGCTTAGGAGATGAAGGAATTTCTTGGCTTACTAAAATTTTGAATATTATTTTGAAGACTAAAAAGATGCCAAATGAGTGTGTTGATTCTTATTTTTAAGAATAAAGGTGAAGCACAAGATTGAGCGAATTATAGAGGAATTAAGTTGATGTTTCATACTTTAAAACTTTGAGAGAGAGTTATGGAGCATAGGTTACGACATGATACTAATGTTTCTCAAAATTAATTTGGATTCATGCTGGATAGGTCTACTATGGAAGCAATTCATTTATTGAGAGAGTTGATAGAGAAGTGTAGAGAGAATAAGGAGGATCTACATATGATATTTATTGATTTTGAAAAATCATTTGATTTATTGATTTTGAGAAATCATTTGATAAGTTCCAAGAGAAGTGCTATGGAGAGTTCTAGAAAAGAAAGGGGTTAATAATGCTTATATTCAAGTCATTAGGGATATGTATGTAGGAGCTGTTACTTGTGTTCAAAGTTCAAACACAAGGTGGTTTGACCAATTATTTTTTTATTTTAGTTAGATTACATCAAGGATCAACCTTAATCCATTATCTTTTTTCTTTATGGATGTTCTTACTAGATATTTGCAAGAGGATGTACCTGATGTATGCTTTTTGTTGATAAGACTAGAGAGGGAGTTGAAGGTAAACTCGAATTATGGAGGTCAATCTTAGAGTTTAAAGGTTTTCGTTTGACTAGATCTAAAACCGAATACATGGAGTGCAATTTTAGTATTAATACCTCTAGTGGCGGGGGGGGGGGGGGGGGGGGGGGGGGGGGGGGGTTGTGACTTTGAGCAATCAAGTCATTAATAAGTGCACTCGTTTTAGATATCTTGGGTCTATTGTTCAGAGTGATGGTGAAATAGATGGGGATATTATTAGTAGAATTCAAGTTGGATGGTTGAAGTGGAGGAATGCTTCGGGTTTGTTGTGTGATAGTAAAGTACCACTCCAACTTAAGGGAAAATTTTATTAGATGGTGTTGAGACCTGCAATGCTTTATGGCGCATAATGTTGGCCATTGAAAGAGAAGCATAAGATTAAGTTAAGCGTTGCTAAGTTGAGGATGCTCAGGTGGATGAGTAGATTTACTCTTAGAGACAAGATACGAAACGAGCATATCTGTGAAAAGGTTGGAGTAGCTCTAGTGACTGATAAGATTAGAGAGTCGCCTTAGATGGTTTGGTCATGTAAAATGGTGGCTTTTCAATGACCATGTTAGGAGAGTAGATATATTAAATTTAGTCTATGTTAAGAAAAGGTAGAAGTAAACCTAAAAAGACTTGGTTAGATAATATTAGAAATTACCTTTCTTTATTAGATTTAAAGGAGAATTTTACTCTTAACAGGACATTGGAGAAAAAAGATTCATGTAGCCAACCCCACGTAGTGGGATAAAGGCTTGATGTTCTTGTTGTTGTTTTATTATCTTTAACCTTCCTTCTCTCCTTTGTCTTCTTTATATTTTTCTGCCTTGTCATCTCCTTTTTTTTCAGCTTGTTATGCTTAAATACCCTTTGCACGTTAAAATCTATGCGACATCCACTACAACTATTCTGAAGAAGTCAATGTTCATTGAGTTTTCTCCCACGCTATTATATTTTGGTATTAGAGGAACATGATTCAGTCATGCAAAGATGAGCAGAGGTTTTTCGCTGCCCTTCTCTCCTTTGACTTCTTTATCTTCCTTTGTTTTTCCCATTCACTAGGCAGAGAACCAACTCTATCCATCATTGCCACTGCAACCTAAATTAAGATCTAGCTTGCAACTCCATTTCACATCCATCGCAACATAACTTGCACAATTTCCTCCAGAATTTCCTAAACATCCTCCTTCAAAATTCCTCCACCAATGTCTCCAATCCGTTTTGCTTTTTTTATTTCTAAATTGAATTGAAATTCAAAATTTAAATTTAAAAAATTTTAAATTCAAACTCTTTTCCTACTGTGATTTCGGTGATCCAAATCAAGAGAGACTTGGACTGGTCTGCCTTCGGTAGACTTGAGTGAACCTTCTCAGACTAGTCCAACTCATCGACTGACCTTACTTAGGCCAATTACAGTGAGTAGATGACAACTTTCTTCTGTCCATAGTGAGTAACCAACAAGGCAATGTGAGTTTCATTATATCGGCTTTCTACCGGATGAATTTACTATTTTACTTCATTGTTGTAACATTTAGGAGGCTTTAGATTCACGTAAAGGAGATTAGCGTAGTAAACAAATATTTGAATTGTTTCTTCTTAACGTGTAACTTAGCTTTGATAAGGTGGTTTTTTTTTTTTTTTTTTTTTTGCGTTTTTGTGGATCTATTTGCACATCCTTGGTCCGTCTCTAGGAAAGCTCCACACCCCTTAATTGAGTGTCCTTTGTAGACCTGCCTGCGACCTAAGCTTGTTTAAGAAAAAAACTAAAGGGATTACTTGCAGTCCACTCTGAAATCCCTTGAAAGCAGTAGATTACGTTGCCATTTTGCTGCATACCGCTATATGACTGATTTGTGTTGCTTTTAGCATTGACTTGAATGCTTTATATGTTGATTTGATAGCTATATAACTGATTTTACAATCAGACAACTTCTTGATATCAGATTATAATTCATATTGCCTGGATACATTTGTATCCAGGAATATCTTGCTTGTTGCATTCCTTATGTCTATGCATTATTGGTGTTAACATTCATCATAAATGATGCAAGCAAAAATTTGGGAAAGGCCCCAAATTTTTGCGAGCAAAAGATTAACTTCCTAGGATAATAAAAAATACACAAAATACTCAAAAAGACACTTTTATAATATAAAAACGACACTTACAACTCTTGACACTTACAAGACGCTTACAAAAGGACTTACAAACTTAGACACTTATAAACGACACAATAAAGACACCTAAAGAAGCTTTGCCTTGAGAAGAAGGATACAGGTGGGGTGGTCACTTGTGGATAGGAGGAGGTTAGAAGTCCGTGACGAAGGATAGGAGGACAAGCTCGCAAGCTTTCCTAAGAAGGAGGAAGAAGTGGCATAGCTCGCAAGCTATCCAAGAAAACTCTCAGGTTTCTTTCCAAAAATCAACACACAACAACCTTTTTTTGACAATAAACACCACATATTTATAGGAGAGAAAAGGGAGACAAATAGCCACATAAAACCTTATTTAAACTAATTAACTAAGGGGAAGAGGAAGGCCAAAAGACACCACAAACAGCCCCCAAAATCTGCACAGAAAACAGGCCAAAAGACACCACAAAAAAGCCCACAAATTATGCATAGAAAACAGGAATTAAGGGGGAAGAAGAAGGGACAAAAGACACCTCAAAAGCCCACATAATCAGCAGAGAAAACAGAGAGAAAAAGCCACGGGAAACTCAGCCAGCAAGCCACGGGAAGCCCAACCAGCAAGCCACGGGAAAGCAGCCAGAGAGGGACCCGAGGAGCCAACACAGGAAACGGGGCAGGGGATTCACGGTAAAGCAGCCAGGGAGAAATCCCAAAAGACAACCAGCCAGCTTTTATTCTCAAATAAGAAACCAAAGAGACACAAGAAGGGGAAGAGACAAGATAAAGGAGGGGAAACCAAAGAGACAAAGGCAAGGGGAATGAACCTAATTAAAGCCAAATTATGAGATGACTAAGTAGTGGGAAAGCATTTATGAGCTGATTTTTAGTAGACGAAATTAAAGCTCACCAAAATTAAAATCCTCCTCCCCCCCCCATCCCCAATAAACATTGGCAATATAACCATGGAACTTGCAACACTTGGAACAATGAAAGCTCATGCAGGCTATTTTATAATTTCACCATTGGTAAGGGATGAAATGAAATCTATTAATAATTATTTAACAGTGAAATGTGAATTATCTATTTTTTCTTCATGTTTTAGTTCTAGTTACTTGCATACGGTTTCTAATACATGTGTAAATACCTTATGGATATATTTATTTGATTTCATTTGGGAAAACAAGAAAAGCATATTATGGAATCTCCTTAATATGAAATTATCCTTTGTTGCTTTCAATGTAATAGCAGGTGCTTGGCTTGATATGGCATGTGTCGGATTTGTATTATATTTTTGCCAGAGGATATAAAGTTATAAACTATGCTTTTTTAGTTTGTTTGATCAGTTTTTTGCTATTTTCCTAGACTTTGCACTGCTTCATCTTCGTGATATTTATGTTTTTGTTTTTCTTTGTTTGAGTAGGTTGAGGAGGCCTATCAAGTATAGTTTAATTTCTGATTAAATGCTGTGGCCTTTTAGTTTTAATAAAGAGATCATTCCTGATCAAAATTTATTGTTTTATTGTTCAGGCGTTCTTTTCATTTATTTTCTGCATTTCTGTCATCGTTATGTGCTATTTTATACAGACGGAAAAATCAGCTAAAAAAAAAAAAGATCTGTTTGGGTTTCATTCGTACTTGTTCATAAATCTATTGGGTTGATTTGGTTTAAATTTTGGGTTTTGGTAAATTGAATAAAATTGAGCCGAACCAAAGAACGCTACACATGATTTATATGATTTATCTTGTTGAGCCATCTAAATAGAAAATAAAGTGCTTATAAAGTTTATAACTCAACGAAATCTCTTTCTTATTCTAATTCTTGCTAATCTAAACCAATCTGAAATATCAGTAGACCTAACCACCCCGAACCATAGGTTTTTTGGTTTTAATTTTTTTAAGTTTGGTTTTGGTTCTATATATAATGGTCGGCTGAGTTTTGGATCATGATCAGTTGGAGCCAAATTGAACCTTGCTCATCCTGAATTTTGTATTAAAATGCTTTGTGAGGATCTTTCTGATTTGCAAGTGATCTAACAATCACTACCCATTGTTATCCTTTATAATATTTCAGTTTTTTTTTCCTTTCATTCATATAACATTTTCTTTTTGGGTCAGGTTCTGACGTATTTTAATGCATCTCCGAAGGACTACAAATGCTTATTTACTTCTGGAGTTACTGGGGCTTTGAAACTTGTTGGTGAAACTTTTCCTTGGTCAAGTGAAAGCTGCTATATGTACACGTTGGAAAACCATAACAGTGTTCTTGGGATAAGAGAGTATCCTGCTAATGTGGGACAAGTAATTTTACATTTTCTAGTACCATCTTGTAGGCTCTAGCTTTCTTATATATATTATGAATGTAAGAATTTAGCAATGGGGTGGCTAACAATTTTTTTGCTTATTGATTTTATTTTATGAATTTGTAATTTTGGAGTGAAAACTTTCTATGGAGTTCAATCAAGATTCAAGCATCACCAGTAGTTTGGGTTGTACAGTGGATTATTCTTTATGATACTGCATAACCAAAGACCACGGGTATTTGTTTTTGGTAAAATGAATTCATCATAATTCATTTTAATGTATTGAAAAAAAACTCGTTTTAGCAATCGACATCTTAAAATTATAATTTGTTCTCCATTGTGATTTGTTAAGTAGGAGCCTAATTTATAGCCTATGAAGAAACGCCTTATGTAGACTCAATCACGGATAAACCTTTCATGATATAATCATCTTGGGGATGGGGATGGATGGTGGGCGGGGAGCCTCTCTCTTGGAAGTTTGGCAGCATAGCTCTTGAAAGGCATCTGATATTTCTGAGTTGACATATATATATATATATATATATATACTTACTTTCAGTTGCCCTAGTTTTTGTTTTTTAAGAAGAAAATATGATTTAGCCATTAATTTGGTGAACCTATATGCAAGTTTTCTTGTATTCCGTGTGTTTATATTTTTTGAATTTTATTTGTTCATGGTGATTTGAATTAGGTCTTGCCTAATTTTTGTAAGGGTAGTGGTAGCAGGTGATAATAAAAAAAGGGTGAAGCAAGTCCATTTACAGATGTAATGTGGCGTGCTAGAATTGTGGCAAGACCGGCCACTTGGCAAAGAATTATATAGCAGTGAAGAAAAATGTTGATAAGAATAATGATGTGGCCAATGATGGTACTGAAATATATGATGCTTTAATTTTATCTGCTTATTGTCTTATTTATCCTTAGGTGTTAGATTTAAGTGTTTCTTTTTATACTGTTGCACTTCATGAAATTTTGGAAGACTATGTTGCTGGGAATCATGAAAAGTTTATTAAGTTGATTTTGAACCTTTAGACGTTGTTAATGTTAGCAAAATTAAATTAAAAATGTTAAATTGGTGGGTTTGGAAGATCATTAAGGTTAGACATATGCTGAAGTTGGCATGTAAATTGCTTTAGCTGTGCAATTTAATGGTGAAGGTCATAATCTGATTTTTAATAGTAGTGGTTGAAAAGCCACAAAGGCAGCCTTGGTGTTTGCTCAGGGAAACAAAACTGGAAAGTATTACATCACTCTTAAGTTATATAAATATAATTATAGTTTCCGATTCTGATGCAAATATTAGCATATGGAAATTTGGCATATGGCATTATAAGCTCGTGCATATGTGTGAGAAGGGAATCAATGCGCTTCATTTAAAAGGGCAGCTGATGTTATGGTTTACCAGACCTAACATTTCCCAAGCTATGAGAGTTTAAGTTGGTACATGAGTTACCCATGAAAATAACATTAGGTGGTCGTGAAGTGGATTCTTGGATATTTAGGATGTATTACAAATTTTTCTTTATGTTTTAGGAAGTTTGGCTTGTTGCTAGAGGGATATGTTAGTGCTCACATGGTTGGGGATATTGATTGTGTGAAAAATAAGGTATGTATGTGTTTTAGGTGGCGCAACAATGAAAAAAAAAAAAAGGTGGCTCAACAATTTGTTGGATTTCAAAACTTAAAAAGATGATTATGCTTTCTCTGAGTTAGAGTATGTTTTTGTGAGCAAAGCAAGGAGATGGTTTGGTTGCGATTGTTCTTGGAAAAGTTTGATCAGAAGCATGAGAAGAGCGTGCCATATTATGATAATCAGAATGCTATTCATGTAGCATGGAATCCAGTTTATCATGCTAGGACAACACATTCAAGTACAGTATCTTTACATCATGTTTGCTTTGGTGGATGATATTTTAACACTTCAGAAGATTGTTAGGAGCTTGGATCCAATTGATATGTTGCCGAAGGCCATTTTGATCAAGAAATTGAAGCTGTGTGCAACTTAAGTTGGACTTAAAGAGAAGTGCAGGGTTTCTGTCGTTGCAGTGGATAGATAATAATTAATTAGTATCAATGGGTGATTGTTAAGTTCAGGAGCTTAATTTATACCCCACGAAGAAATGTTTTTTACAGATTTAGTCGCAGATCATCTATCATGCTAAGGTCATTGTGGGAGTTGGAGGCGGGTGGGGAACCCCTTTTGGGGTTTTGGGGTGGAGAAAATTATTTTATCAATCGGTGTTTTTTAGGATTTTACAATATTTTTCGGTTGTGCTAATTTTTCTTTTAAAGGAAGGGGTGTCTTTTGCTGATATTGAAGAGATTAGGGACATAAAAACTCCATATTTAATACCATAATGAATTCTACAATGAAGGCAAAAATACCTTGCAATCAATTAGGTAAGCCTGCATAAAATTCTTGGTGTATTGTGTAAGTTTTTCTGCTTTCTATTTTGTTTGTTCTTTATGATTTGAATTTGATTAATTCCCTACAGGGTTCTATGTTGAACTTTACTTTATGCTGTTATGCTTTACTTTGTATGGCTTAGTGTGCATACTTTTCTAATAGCTGAGAATTCTGAGTACTTACTTTTGATCTTTATTTTTGTCATGTAAAGTTACATTTTGCATTGGAAGAGGTCTTGGTTTTACTACTTTCAAACCTCGTAACAAACTCTCTGCAAAAAAATGGCTAGATGAATGTACACAAGCAGCTCCAGCACAATTCTGTGCCTTGTAGTTTTGTGCCACATGAAAACAAAAGATTCTTCTAATTTTGATGACACATGGTTGTCTTGTATTTTATAATTTCTATGATGGGTGATCTTAAACGATTGCATTATTTGTTTTGGAAGATTACTATTATTGAGAATTTGAGCTTATATGCCCACAAGTAAACACATGCGTAAAGAATTGGACCATTATTTTTTCATGTCCATTTGAGCAGTTAACATGTTTCATCACTTCCTGTCTTACATAGTTCTGCTGGCTTTTTATTCAACCATTATTCTGCTGGCTATGATTGATTGGAAATTCAAACACCAAACCCTACTATATAAAGAAATAGAAAAGCTTGATGAAGAAATGGAAAAAGGTTGATTGATAAATGCCGTGAATTATAGCATTGTCTAATTCTTGACTTTTTAACCTGAAATGATTACCAATATGTTGTGAAGGCTTTGTTTTTAAGAGCTCATTTTTTTTTTCTTTCTAAAAGTTAGTTGATACTTATGCATTAGCTTCTATTATTATCTTTGGATTAAGTCGGTGCTTTGTGAAATCGCCCAAATGTAGCAGGTGCTTTTGGTGTTGACATTGTGATTTATTTTCTCTTCTTTAATGTCAGCTCTTTTATACTTCATAAAGACCCTTAATGGAAATCCAGATATGCTCTTGACCTTGGAGCAACAGTTCTTGCTGTTGATATTGAAGAGGTTGAACATCTAAGAAGCCCAAAACAATCCATCCATATCCTTAAACACTCGACACAGAGGAGAAGTGAAGCCAACTCCCCAAGAGAGATTCAGAATGGTAAATGTTCAGGTATATTTTTCTGCTTGAAGATGAGTTAATAACAAAGATTGATTCATTTTTTATATTAGTTAGTTGATCAGGATTAATTTTTCAGGAAATCGGCTTTTATGAAATTTTCTTTCATAGCCTGTTATTTCCTTGTTAGGGTGAAATGTGTACAACGTTTTAATTTGAGTGATTGTATTGATATGATTATTTTAATAATGGAAAATGTTTAATCATGTAGTGCTTGATTCTGTATCAAGGTAATGTTTTCTATTACCTTCTAAGTTATGTGAAAATATCTTACATGCTAAGAACGTCTCTAAACTATTGATTGTGATGGACGCCTAAGCTTTGAAACAATTGGTGGTGGAGAGAGTGATGATTGGGGATTTGGTTAGAAGAATCACAGAGGCTAATTTCGGATTTGGTTGCCAACATTAACCAGTAACTATAGGGAAGGCAAGCTGCAACTATAAGGAAGCAAAAAAGGCAATTGTGCTGTAGATTGGTTGGCCAATGCAGACATTCGGTTGAAGGAAATCGGTCTTAACTGTGGGAGATTCAATTATGACGGGAAAATGGGATACCTTTGCATCATATTCTTATTTTTGGCTTGCTAGGATTTCCTGCTTGGTGGGATTGAGGATAGTTGAATTTGGTGTTCGTGAACCCAACCCTTGATGTTTGTATTATGGTCTCATAAGAGCTGAGATTGTTTCAGGGTTGGTTGTTTGGTGCTTGATGTTGGCCATGCACGATGAAAATAGAAAGCAAAAGTGCATGTTGTCATGCATAACCCTCCAACACGTGTCGATTGAACATCCAAATTGTTGAAATGGCGTCCTTTCTCAAAAAGAATTGTGCCAACACATTCGGGGCAACAATAATAACTAAGATCGACATCCATATTGGCTGAGGTCGTCGATCAGCAGAAATCAAAATTTCACGCTTGTGGATTGAGGCGGAGTCATCGTGTGAACAACGACGATTTTGCGAGCGAGTCGAAGCACGATTATTATAAATAAATATTTATCATTAATTAAATAGACAAATTGTTAATTTTGTAAAAAAATTATTTAACTTATATATATATATATATATATATATATATAAACACCTAAACCCTAAATTCCATTTATATATCTTGTAACCCTCATTTCGCACGCGACTCCAAGGCAAACACACCCCCTTTCCTCTGGGTCTTTACTGCTCATGTGACTCATGGCCGCCGCCACTGCCAGCCTGACCCTAGCTTGACGTTGCTGCCGACCAGCCCTAGCCGGTCACCTCCCTTGTCCCAGTCGACCACCATCACGATCTCCTCCTCCTTCCTCTTCTTTCTTTTTCCGTTCCTCATTTTCTTGCTTTCTTCCTCCATTCTTCATCTTCTTCCTCCACCTTAAACCCAAACCCTAACTTTCTCCCTCCACCTAATCTCACTCTTTTCTTCTATACACATCAACCACTTCTTAGAAATCACTGTATCTAGCCCATCAAAACCTTAATTCCCTCACACTTTCTCTCTCTAGACCTCGAGAGAGAAAATTGATTCTCTCTCTAACTCACCTTTATTTCTCTACAAAACCCTTATACTCTCTCCCTACACTTCTCTCTCTATCTCTCTCTCTCTCTCTCTCTCTCCCTCCAACTTCTCCTCTACTTCTCTCTCTAGCCTCCACCCTCTAAAAAATTTGCGCGCCGCCATTGCCCCTATTTTGCCCTCGTTATCCTTGCCACTGTGCACTTTAAGATATAACCCACAACTTTAAAATCCCAAAAATCCTGGTTGTGATGGGTTTGACGCAACGATGCATTCGATGCGCCGGGTGAGCCTTGTGTGCGTTTTTTTTAATACTATGAGGTACATAGCTGTCAATGGCGCAAAATAGCGCGTGCCATGGAGCACGGCGCACCTACGGTGCCATGTTCATGGCGAGGCGCATGTGTTTAAAATAGCGCGCGCTATTTGCGCCACATGTGAGCCATGACGCATTGCGCAAAATAGCGCGCCAAATTATTTTTAAATTTTCGTATACTTATGAATATTTTTTATATTTAAAAATATATCTATATTTTAAGATAAACGACTATTCATTGCCCTAATTTCACGAAAGATTTTCTGTTTGCTGCATCCGCCGAACACATCCCGTAGTCCCTAAGTCGAGGTCGCTGAATCTATCCCGAAGTTGAAGGTTTTTTGTTTTCTATTTGCTGCATTCGCTACTTCCGCCGAATCCAGTCGAATCTGTCCCGAAGTTGAAGTCGTTATTTCCGCCGAATCGTCCCGCAGAGCAGTGCTTCTGCCAAATCCGCCCCCTCCGTCTGTTCCAATAAAAAATCTTACCAGCTGACTCTGATTTGCAGCCTCCATTTGTTCCACACAGCTATGTTGTTTTGCACGGCTATTTCTTACAAGAATTTATAACTTAACAGGTATGCTTGGTACCGTTAGGTACATGCTCGGTACCGCTAAGTAAATGCTCGGTACCGCTATGTATATGCTGGATACCGCTCGGTACCGCTAGTTACTTGCTCTGTACCGCTCGGTACAGCTAGGTACCAGCTCGGTACAACTAGGTACCAGCTCGGTACAACTAGGTACCAGCTCAGTACAACTAGGTACACGCTCGGTACACACTCGGTATTGTTAAGTGCATGCATGATACCGCTCGGTACCGCTATGTAAATGCTCGGTACCGCTCGGTACATGCTCGGTACCACTCGGTACAGCTCGGTACAGCTTGGTACAACTAGGTACACGCTCGGTACATGCTCGGTATTGCTAAGTACATGCATGATACCGCTCGGTACTGCTATATAAATGCTCGGCACCGCTCGGTACAGCTCGGTACAGCTCGGTACCGCTAGTTACATGCTCTGTACTGCTCGGTACAGCTCGGTACAACTAGGTACACGCTCGGTCCTCCATTATTCTAAAGTTATGTTATTTCATGAAGAATTTGTGTACATCTTAACTTAAATTATAATGACATAACAGGAAAATTATTGATGGACAAATATCCTCACATTTATTGGACTCCTTGTGCTGCTCACTGTTTGGATTTATTAATGGAGGACATTTTAAAATTCAAAAGCTAAGGCGATGCTTTGAGAAAGCAGTGGCAGTACACAGTTTTATATATTCTAGGCCTCGCTTACTTGAGTTAATGAGAAGGTGCACAAATCAAAGAGCACTTGTCAAACCCGCAAAGACTCGCTTTGCAACAGCTCTGAATATTTCTTCAATAACCCTGATATTGCCAAGGATAAGGAAATAGCTGATGGTCTTTATCAATGTATTGGAAGATTATCTCAAGATGTAGCTGAAGAAGATAAAATTAGTAATGAATTAAGTTTATACATTAGGGGTGAAGGACTTTTTGGTATTCCTCCAGCTGTAAGACAAAGAACTACCCGATCTCCAGGTATCATTATTTACAAAAAATTAAGACTGATTTGTTATATAATATTGAAAAAAAAATTCATTTCTTCCAGCTGATTGGTGGTTGGCATATGGACAAGGAGCTCCCAATTTACAAAGCTTTACTATCAAAGTCCTAAGTTTAACATGTAGTTCATCTGGATGCGAACGCAATTGGAGTATTTTTGAACATGTAAGTATTTTACAATGTATGTGTTGATTTTTTATATATGTTCATAATATAGTAATGTAATAATATTTTAATTGCAGCTTCATAGCAAACGAAGAAGCAAATTGGATCATGGTCGCTTAAAGGATTTAGTTTATGTGAAATATAATAGAGCACTGATTCAGAGATTCAATCATCGTGATGTCATTGATTCTATTTCTTTGACTGAGATAGATGATGCAAATGAATGACTAACAGAAAAATTAGATGATGAGTCTGATGAAGAAAATGACTTTATTGCTGGAGAGCAAGATTTAACTTGGACAAGTGTTGCTAAAGCTACTAGTGTTTATGATAAAAGCTATAATATTCGGGAAAGATATAAAGAGAAAGAGAAAGAATCTTCAATTAGGCATGATGTTGCTATTGAGAATGATGATGAGGAGGGTGATGAAGAGGATTATGAAGTAGGAGACAATGTTGAAGAAGATAATGAAGCTTTTTTAACATTTGATGATGATGATGATTCCCAAGAAGAGTAGATTAAATTCATATTTGATCTTTTAAAAAAAGATTGTAATATTTGAATTATGAGATATTTGGATGTTACTTAGTCGAACTTATATATGTTATGATTGTATTTTATTATTATGATAGCTTGTCTTTCATTTTTAATAATATTTCATATTCATGCTTATTATTTTATATTTTTTATATAGCTTGCGCCATGTTCAAAATAGCGCGAAATGGACCTTTGCACCATGGTGCGCCATTCGCCGTTAACAGGTATGATGAGGTAAAGTCCTATGTATTCGTGACTGTCTTTCTTGATAGGCGGGGAAATACTGTGATTTGAAAGCATGTACCTGAAGACCCATGCATTATCTTTCTTGACTGGTAGAGTTAAAGATTACGGCCATGTTGTCACCCCTTACTAGGGGTGTAAGTGAGCTGAGCCGGCTCACGAGCCTGCTCGAGCTCGACTCATTTATGGGCTCGCGAGCCGAGCTTATCGAGCTCACGAGTCGAGCTCGAGCTCGTTTTGTAAACGAGCTCGAGTTTGAGCTTGATGAAGCTCGGCTCGTGAGCTCGCGAGCCGGCTCGAACTACTGTTTAATTTTTTTTAAATCAATAATTTTATTACATTTGAAAAGTCTAAAAAAAATTAAATCTAATATTCAACGATAGCTTAATAAAAATATTCTAGAACATCAATACCAATAAATGCTAATAAATGAAAAGCAGCTTTTGAGTTATAAAATAATGATTTTTTTTTCAAAAAAATATATAAAATTTAAAAGCTGTGAAGAAAAGTAGCTTTTTTCTTTTCTATTATATGCTGAAGGCACTTGAGCTCACGCCAACAGTCTTCTTTGCTCGATTTTTATGTCCGCTCTCCACTACTCCACCTGTTTGAAACGGGCGGTAAAATCA